GATAACCAACAGCCACTCCTGTCGGTGTCTTTCAGAGAAAACAAATCTGGAAAGGTCTCTTTGTTGGACAGCCCCGCTTTCTCTACAATTTTTAAAAAAAGGCGGCTGAACAGGACATGTGACATTCTCGCAGCAGCAAAAAAGGCCGAAAAAACAAAAAACACAAAAAGGGGGGCTCTGCATTGACTGTGCGCCATCCGCCAGTTGAGGGCGCGCCTGCTCGCACATTCACAAATGTCCCCGATCCAAGGGGCGGGAGGAGCGGGAAGCACACCAGCGGCAGAAGCCCAGGCGAAGGGCAAGCATCCGCATGTACCTTGCCCACTTCCTTTTGGCGCCCAACACGCCGTTCGGATTTCGCGCTCGGGGCCGGTAATGGGTGAAAAAGCCAAAGTGACCGGGCTGCTGTTTACATTTTGAATGGTTCCACTGTTCACCCCAACCTGGAAAGGGTATGCCTTAAAAAACACACACACACAAACAAACACATATTTGTGTACTCCCTTGACCATTTACATAAAACCCCGAAAGGGGTCCTCCCAAAGCCCTTTTGGGGGAACGCCAAATAATTCGCGCGTGGTTCCACTCCTGGGTTCAGGGGTCTGGCTCCCGCATCCCGAGGTTGTTTGCGCCTTTCTGGGGGTTGATTCCAACCATCCTTTTCAACCATCGTTCTTTCAAAAACCGGCTGTTTCCCTGGGATTTTGAGGGTTTCCTGAAAAGAAGGATCCCTGGAAAGAATGGAAATGGAAGGTATATAGAACATTGCTTTCGGGTACACGCAGCCAGCTGTTGCACCTCTTAGCATGCATTGTTCCTGACAGCGCGGTCTGCTGGGTTGTCTGATTCAATCAGAAATCGTCTCCCCCGTGTCACGCGCCCTTTCGCAGCAAACATGGCACATGGGTCAAAAGCCCGGTTACCCCCCAGTGGACATCCCAATCCCCACTAAAATCGGTTCTAAAATGGGTGGTGAATTCACCTACTACCCTAAAATGGTACCAAAACGGTGTTGAACTACAGCATAAGAGCCGAAGAGATGAGCTCAACCGCAGCTCTCTTGCGATCCGTTGCCCAACTCCTCAAAACCTGGTACAATGAACGCACCACCGCCAGCAAGCACCACGTTACGTTGATTCAGCAAGACAGAACACAGAGCGAGCTCTTTGTCCAAGTGAATCACTTACAGCAGGCCACCGCAATAGGAAGCCTTGCTTCTTTCTCACTCGGGACACGTACAACAAAAAGGGGACCTCTCAACCTGACTGTAAACTGCTGGATGTTTTGACCAAACCCTCACATGAGTCACAATCAAAACCCCGTACTAAAATGGTATACCCAGAACCATGTAAGGAATTAAGAAGGCGGCCGCAGCTATTTATGGTTGGGATCGTCCTTTACTAAGCTTCATCTACCCGGGTTTTGATTGTGGCTCATGTACCTCAACATGTGTCGATGTTTCAAGCAGAGTCCCCAGGTCATCTCGGCCACTTTAACCAGCCAAAGGCGCCCCAGCAGCATGAGCATGGCGCAGGTGGCCTGCAAATGGTGGACGCCTTTTGGTTTGATAGGCATTCGCCTGGGCCATTTATCAGGGAACCCCTCTAGTGGTTGGTTGAAAGTGATAGGGAACTCTTGGGAAAGGCATATTCCTCTTCCTAGCGGATCATACAAACAGCAATGAGCATATGGAGAACTCATGGCCTTTCTTGCTGGTTTCCTTTCACCGTCTGGCATGGCTAGTGCATCAGTCCAATAAATTGTACAGTCAGCCTTTGACCACCACCCTTTCGACAAAAAAAAAAAGACAAAACTGGCACATGTTTTACTCACCTCCTGAGTGGATTGGCCAGGAAAAGTCGAGACTGTTTTGATCTTCCCAAGAAGCTTAAAGTCGGGCCTAGGGAAGTGCGCTTACTAACTCACAGTCGCCCTAGGCTCTTTGGGGAACTCGTGCTCCACCAGTTTCCGGCTTTAGCAAATCCAAGGGTCCAACACCTGCTAGTCACAGCCGAAAGGACCGTTCTCGCTCAAACAATAACTGGTTTGAGATTGCAACAGCCCAGTGACTAGAATCCACTGACCCTGTTTTAAAAAAAATAAACACACACGCAAGGTGCATGTAGTGTACTTGGGATGCAGCTTTGGTTAAAAGTTGTAAGTCAGCCAAAAACTCGCGCTAGCCTAAATTCCAGGGGCCTTACTTAAGCAAGTTGGACATCCAGGCTATTCGCGCATGGTCTGGGACTAGGTTCTAAGAGGGCCTCCTCTCCCAAGCCGCCAAAGCTGTTTTTTCCGCCTCCCTGGTTCAAAGCTAGCCTCAAGACGCGCGCCAAGGTTTTTTTGTCGGCACCCAACGCGAATTAAAAAGGCCGGCTTTGAACTGAGGCAAAGTCACAGTCCCTGGATAAGGCAAGCATAAGCCAGGGTTCAGCCAGCCTTGAGGCTTAACCTAAGAGGCTAACAAGGGAGCCCCGCCCCAGTCCCCATAGCCCCCTCCACATGCCCCCTACTCGCCCCACCTTGCCTCTCCCCCCCCACTCGCCTCACCTTGCCTCTTCCCCCCCTTGGCCCCCCCCGCCATGGCCCCCCACTCGCCCCGCTGATAAGCACCGCGACCCAACTTCCCACTTCCCACTCCGCGCGCCTGGCAAGCGCTCCGGAAGGTTGTGAGCGTGGCCGAGGCGGCACGCCCAGCGCAGCGCACGAAGATCTTGGCCACGCAGCCTGCCCCGGGCAAGATACGCCACGGGTACGGGTCCCAAACATGTTGGCATGTTCAGCTTGGGGTGTGTCTGTGTTTTGTTTGTTTTGTTCTGGTGGTTTCTTTCTTTGTGTTTGAGTGTTTTTTGGGGGTATATACCCTTTGTTGAGCTTAGTGGGTTTAGATGGAAAATACACCAACACGTAAGTATAATTGTGAAGGTATGGAGGCCAAACATTATATAGTTGTTAGTGATATATCATATACGTTGCGTAAGCATCCCTAACCCATACCAGAAAATGCCCCTGACACCTGCGGTGCCCCAGTGGAGCTACCCTGTTCGAGCAAATCGCCACTGCCCTTCCCTGGAAGCGATTTAAAGAATGTGTCTGGGAGACGCACGGAGTACGGTTTTGCGTCTGCGCACTAGCGGAAAACAACTGCTGCGTCAGCATGGGATGTGCAGGGAAAGCAAGGGAACAAGGCAAAGCAGTCCATGGCATCACCATCCAGCTCTCCAGCATCACCAGAAAACTGCTAGAACCAAACTTCAAAAGGAAGTAACAAGACGCCAGAATTGGGCGCGGTCTAGCGTGAACTTAACACAACTACAACCATAACGTCGATTTCCTGCATCTTGCACTGATTTCAATACCGGAATCACGTTCAGCATGGTGAACTTGTCTAACCGCTCGCCAATCAACAATGTGGGAAAGTGAGCCAATTAGATTAACCCTGACTGTCCCCTCCGTGTTCCCCCAAAGAATCACCCGCCAGCCCAGCCTGCAAAGTGCTCTTGCAGATACTCCTCCTCCAGCTCTGGAAGATTCCCGCCACGCCTGCCTTCCCTGCCTTCTCTGCCTGGGCACGCAGCAAGGAGCTTGGGCTTGAGTCACGCGATCCACCCATGAGATCCACCCCCTCATAGGGCCTCACCCCCTTCAACAAACCAACAAGAATACTCATGCGGTCTTCGCTTTCGTGCACGATATGGAGTGCATGAAGAGCAAAATTGAATCCTAATCTCTCGTGCGAGTATTCGTGCGCAAGTGCGACTGCGCGAGTTTGCTCGCGCAAGTGCGCAAGTTGCTTCGCGCACGATGCTCTGTGGGAGTCTTGCTTGAAAGTTACTCTGCACAAGTTGCTCTGCGCAGGTGCTCTGCGCAGGTGCTCTGCGCAAGTATGTTGCGCCTGTTGCTCGCACATGTTGCTCAAGTGCTCACTCCCTGAATGTTGCACTTATACGCAAGCGCTCTGCGAGAGTTGCTTTGCGCAAGTTGCTTTCGCAAGCGCATTGCGCAAGTTGAGCTGTGGAAGTGTTCTTTGAAAGTTGGTCTGCGCAAGTTGCTCTGCGCAAGTGCTCGGCGCAAGTTACTCTGCGCAAGTCCACCGCGCAAGTTGCTCTGCTCAAGTGGTCTGTGCAAGTTGCTCTGCGCAAGTGCTCTGCGCAAGCTACTCCTTGCGCAAGTTGGTCTGAGTGCGTACATGTTTCTGTATGTATGTTGTTCTCTGAGAATGCTTGAGTGTCTGCGCGTGCCGTGCCACCTCGGGACATCGTCTCAAGACTTATACGCGCGCACAAAAAAAAGTAGCAACAGTCCTGGCGTATCGAAGTAAAAGAACGAGTCCCCAGTTTTCGCATATCGACCACGCCGATCCCCGCAGAGGGTAGCGCGCAGCAAAAGCCCTCAGTCCCTGCCTCTGCAGAGCGTCGCGTGGGTGTAAAAAAAGTAGCAACAAGTCTTCAGTCTTGCACATTGACACGCGATCCCCACAGAGAAATGCGCAGAGTGGGTTTGGCCCCACCCCAAAGGGTTAAATTACTCTCGTCTTGTGCAAGTTTTCTCTCGCAAGTGCGCTCATGCGAAATCGCTCGCTCGTTCAAGTTGTCTCGTGCCAGGTGTGCTCATGCGAGTTCGCTAGCAACTTTCCCGGAAGAACTCTTCACAATGCTTGCAAAGCACCAAAAAAAACTAAGTCAGCATTGACGCGTCAGCTTGTTTCAATTGGACTATGGGCGGGAGGGGGGTGGGGGGGTGCAAAGGTCGAGCGTTAACAACCAAATGAGTGTTTTTTCCAGAAGCAGGGGCGCACGCTTGGAGACAAGTGCAGAGACAGTGGGCAAGCATGGGGACGAGTGAGGAGACAAGTGGGGAGACCAGTGGGGAGACAAGCCATGACAGGGTCCGAGTCACAAGCGCAGGCACCGAGACAAGCGCGGAGGCAAGCCGTAACAAGGGAGACATGTGGGAAGACACGCCAAGCTGCAATGAGGTCCGGGTCAAGCAGAGAAATCTGCAGAAGATCGCCCGCATCGGGTATTGTGGCAGGCAGGGCTGGACAAAAGCGCTTGCGCCAGTGCCAAGACAAGGTGGCCCAAAAAGACCGCCTTGGCCTTGAGTGCACGGCCATGAATCACAGCTTGTTGCACAAGCGATTTGGCACGGCAGATGTATTTTTTTGCTGAATCGCTTGGTCTCGGTGTTCCTTTCCTGCCTTTACGCGTTATTGTTTCTACGCCTCACGCCGGCATGTGATTCACTCCTCCTGGAAGCGATGCGTAGTGCTCAAGCAAAAGAGCCATGCCATGAAAGAGCCTTGACCGCCCTCATATCACAAGTGTGCCAGAAAAGGATCCGCAAAACCCCTCCCAAAATCGTCCGCAGCCGCCAATCCATGGTGATGGCTCGGGATGCGCTGTTTTGCGCTTTCGCGTGAGCCTGCGAAAGCTGGAAAGCTCCCCACGTCACCCCGAGCTTACCCGCCAAAAAAGGCAGCCATCCTAGGCTCCCAGGGACCCATTTCCCATGGCACACAACCTGATTTCAGAAATTGCTTCGGCGTTTCAGCATGTTTTGTTTACGAGCCTTCCCAACTTTGGCTCTTGAACAACTTAACTTCAGGGGCTGCTTCTACGCTCTCAATGCGTTTCGATGTGTTTCGTTCTGGTGTCTTCTGTCCCTTGTGCTAAAATAAGCTTTGGAAACTCTGCGTTGCGCTTGGTTTGTGACGCCGGTCAAGGGGTCACAATCTGTTGTTCCAAGAGCCTTGCCTAAAAGCATCTTTTACAATTTACTCAGGCCCTTGCGTGTAGTAAAGATTGTCCTTGATGGGGGGCGCGGAAAACTAAGGAAACATAGGAGGTCACCCAACATGCATACCCAAGCTAGCAACCCTGTCAGAACACAATAGGATGGGCTTGCCAGGAAGCACGGCCATTTCCCAACGCAATCGCCTGGATGCGGCGAGAGCTTCCTTCCTGCGAAGCCAATGTTCGTTTCAAGGCCTCCAAACAAGAATTGGCAAGAGCGCGCCGTGGCTTCCAAGGCAGTTTCTTGCGAGGTTTTACTGCGCAGGTGGTTGCCGCGTGCCAGGGCGACTTCCTGCAAAAAGTAGGTGCTTGTTTCAAGGCGCGCAGATTGGGGTGTGAGACAAGTGGAGACAAGTGGGGAGACAAGCTGTGACAAGGCACGAGCCACCAAGCATCGCCAAGGGAGACAGGCGATTCACAGCATTTTTCGCATGAATCGAGAACCAACAGCTAAGCTGCGTGGGGAACAAACAAACACCCAAATCTCAGCTTCCCTCGAATTGGTGGTTTGGAACGGTGGTTTGGTGGTTTAGAACAGTTTCCCATTAACCCTCCACAAGAACCAGGGGTTCAAATCCAAAACCAAACCTCCAATTAATTAGGCAATACCTGAAAATCTGCACGTCTTATAGCAATTCACGAAACGCCCCGAAACTTGGCATCTGCAGGCGAAGCACCTGCAGCTTCGCAGCTTCAGGGGAAGCCACCGGGAGCAAGTCATGTGTTGAGAACCACTCAAACTCAGCTTCCCTCAAGCTAGCTTGGATGGGTGGTTTTTGAAGGTTCGGTAGCTGGCTTCCCTACCCAACAAGAGCCAGGGCTTCACTTGCAACAAACCAACCGCCCATCCAATCGCACCGCGCGTCTACGCAGACTTCGGGATCGGATGGATCCGGGGCCGCGGCTCACGATCCGGAGCTCGGAGGCCTGGGCAGGACTGGCAGGTTCTGACCCCGACGCGGAAAATAAGACGCGCGTGGCAAAATTGTCGGTTTTCTAGTCTGCTCCCCCACCCCACCCCGAAAAAACACAATGAAGATCCAGGAGACCCCGGCAATGAAAAGACACCTCCTACAAAAAGCAGGACGCCGCCAGCACATTTGTTGGCACTTGATTTGGAAGGAAGTGTCTGCTATCTGACGCCTTCTTGGCCAGTCTTGGCATGCAGGCTTGTCTCAAGATTGGATGGAAAAGACAACCGGGTCGAGGAACTTGGTCCAGTGCCGATGTTGCCCCGACCGTTCACGAGCTCAGCTTCCACTTGACGGACCTTTCTAGGAAGCAGGGATCATCACACACACACACACAGGTTGTTTCCAGTTCAATTTTCCAAGGAATGTCCACCCTTGCGAAAATGGGTTTCTCTCAACATAGACAACCCTCATGTTGCTTGCTTTGCTCTTGTTCCCCTTTGAACCCATCCCAAACCCGACAGTCGCCTCCTCCTTCCGCGCCAGCGCCAGCAAATGCTTTGCCACGGCCGACGCGCCCCCCGGCGACCCAGGGCCTGTGGGGAAGGAGTGCCACAAGGGATGGTCCTGGGGATTCCCTGAAAGGAAACACCAGCTGGATGCTTGGTTTCTAGAGGTCATACAAACTCATTCCCTAAGCACCAGCAACCAGCTCGGCCACGGTCGCTTTATTTGGAAAAAGTGGCAAACCACAAGCGCGGAGAGTTGGTCTCGGTTGCTTTGCGCTTTTCCAATAACCAAACTGCTGCTAGTGGGTTCAGTGAAAATAGGGGGAGCCCCATATTGGCCGCCACATCCAACTTGCGAGTGTTGGCAAACGTCCAAATTCCACGACTTCTTTAGACCCAACGAGGGCCGATTGACGGGGCTGGCGATCGCAAGCTCAGGATTCCCGGCCGCGGACCCGCCTAGGCTCGGCGGACGCAGCCCGAAGTTGGCACCGCCTGAGTCTGAGTTGAGCGGGGCCAACTCAAACACGTCAGACCAGTGAGGCATCATAAAGTTCTGCCCACAACCAAAAAGAGGTTTTTCCTTACGAGTGGAAGCCCAAGCCAACCTGGAACACCAGGGGGTGTAATCAAAAACCGAACAAACAACAACAAACCGCTCCAGAGAGTACGACGGCAACCAGCGTCGGTCGATTTATTTTCACCGCACTGCCTCAAGTGGGTGGGATCGTACCTGTTGGTCGATCTGTTTCAATCTCTGGAGTCGGTGTGCGTGTCTCTCAGACACCACTTGACTCGAAAGTAAAGTACAACAAATAAAAGGTAAGCAAATGCAAGTGCATGCAAACCCAAAATGTTGTACAGCAGAGTTTCGAAGAGGGAGTGGACGTTCTCCCGTCCTCTCACTCGATGCTATAAATGCAGACCGACAGGTACTGAGGGCATGCAGTGAAAACTGGTGAGGGTGGGTGGGAAAGAAAAATTTGGCTAATTCGCCAAAATGGCGAACGGAGCATGAATCAAGCAGTGTCATCCTGCAGGCACTCAAGGTTCGAATCTGAGTGTGATTCAAATGCCTTCCGCTATCGGTTGTTACTTTTAACACAAGTGTTAACCGCAACAACAAACCGCTCCAGAGAGTACGACGGCAACCAGCGTCGGTCGATTTATTTTCACCGCACTGCCTCAAGTGGGTGGGATCGTACCTGTTGGTCGATCTGTTTCAATCTCTGGAGTCGGTGTGCGTGTCTCTCAGACACCACTGACTCGAAAGTAAAGTACAACAAATAAAAGGTAAGCAAATGCAAGTGCATGCAAACCCAAAATGTTGTACAGCAGAGTTTCGAAGAGGGAGTGGACGTTCTCCCGTCGTAGGTCAACTCCCGTCGAAGGTGAAGCCGAAGGCGAACGACCTAGACAAAAGGCACGTTGAAGGCATCCTTACATCGATCAAGTCTCCTTACTGTGGACAAGATTCTCACGGGACGTGGAAGTCAAGTCGGGTTCAGGAGGAATGATTCCTGTGGAACTGTTGGAGTTCCTTTATGTCGTCAAATCCGACGGCATGGGCGAACTCAATATCGCCAATGATTTTGCACGTCCGTTTATGTAGAGCGTGCATGGGGGGTTCCAGAATCTGCCAGTGGTGCTTCGAGGCAAGGGACATGTCATGTCGACTGAAGGGGTCGGCTATATTAGCATGTGTGGGCACACGGGCAATATGCAACTGCAATTGCTGTCGGTTGTGCCATGTCCAATGTGCACCGAGCAGGCAGTTTAGTGGTTGGTGTTTCCCAACTCCCCGTCTGATGGCGTGTTTGGCCGCTTCGTTGTCGCACAACTGGAGGTATGTGTCAGTGATCCATGGTCGAAAGATCACAGGAGCGATCAACGCGGCCCATGCCTCGAGGAAATAAATGGCGTTGGTGCCAGTACTCACTTGTTGGAGTAAGTTAGGGGGTAGTGCGCCCGAGACCACGCGGGTCCTTTGTGCCTGTGGGCTGAACAGCACCGCTGCCCATCCGTTGTCGTGCGACCAATCGGGTGGCAGACAATCCTGATCCCCTGCGTCCTTGACACGCCAGACCGTCTCGCCCTGCCGGCAGAACGCGTCGGTGTATATGATTGAGAGGTCTCTGGGCCTGGTGGACAGTGGGACGCTGCGGGGTGAGCTATGTTGCAGGATATTCAGGAGGCACAGAATGGCAGCTCGAGTTGGTTTGTCGATCCGGTCGGAAGTGCTGTGTGCTTTGTGGTATAGGGCGGCTAACGCCGATCGCCCTACTCGACCGAACAGGTGTCCGGTGACAAAGTTGCACTTGCCGGCAGTGCGTCGGGCGGTGTCGTTCGACATGCCTCCCTGTTCGAGACACTGAGACAGGGTGTGTGACAGTGTACGGACTCGGTCTGGGCACGGTCGAAGGGTTGCGTGTGTTGCCGACAGGTCGACATAAACCCCTTGTATTTTGTGAGAGGGCGCCGGTGGTTGTTCCTTGGATGTCTTCATATGAAATCCAAGTAGTGAGTTGAGCTTGCTGAATGAGGAGAAGGAACTGGTCGCGATGTGACTGGGTTGTATGGCCCCGTAGTCGTCAACGTAGTGCAGGGCCGGTGTGAGTGTTAGTACGCGGGCGAGTGCTGTGAGTGCATCGCCGAAGCGGTTGTAGCCCCAGACGCTGGCAGCGGAGCCGAACAGGAGTACGTGGTGGTGCCAGAGAGTTGGGCCGTCGGGTGTGATGAGCAGCACGTATGCTACCTCCGGTTGTGCGAGGGGCAGTTGACGGTAGGCGCCGTCGTGGTCGTGTCCCCACACATGTAGCGGGTGTGTGTCGTCGTGATATTGTCTCGCACATTGGATGTAGTGGTCGGGTGTGTGATGGTATGGTTGATCGTGCATAGAGCACGTCTGGTTGTGGCCGCTGCGGCGCCAGTCTTCTCCTCTCCGGACTTTGGGTTTTCCGTCCGATCCTGTCTGTTGTATGCTGAATGCGACTGCCACAATGGGATCGCGATGTGGGATAGGAAGGAGCCGGCTGGTGTGGGGGAAAAGGTGCAGGGGTACTGTGCGAGAGGTCCAATGAGTCGGTGCCTCGAAGGGGCCGGCCATACGTCCCTGGGCCACTTCCCCCGCGATTTCGGTGGCCATAAGAGTCCAGTGGTCGTCGATCTTGTGTTGTTGTAATTTGCGCTGGATGTAGGCTTTGTTGAATGACCTGAGTTCTGCAAGGTCACATGGGTCCAGGTATTTGTGGTCGTGGCGAATGTGCCAATTGACTCCGGGTCGCAGAGGCCCCAGGAGGTCGAAGCCTAGAGAGAGTTCCTCGTGCAGGAGTTGTGCCTGTGGGTAGTTAAGCAAATGTAGCAAGTGTGTCATGAGTGGTACCTGAGTGATCATCTTCGGTTGTCGATAGGCTCGCTGGCAGTGTGGGGGCAGCTGTTCGAACCATGCAAGTGTATCCGTAGTCAGGTCATCGCGAAGGTCCGCGATGTCGCGTAACACGTTGTGCTGTAGTTGTGGCAGTTGTGGTATGGTCCTTTGCATTGCGATGGCCCACAAAATGGTCGGGTCGCAGTGCTGGGGCTGTTGCAGCGAGGTCGCGTGGTGTTTGGCCCAGGTCAAGTGGTCCTGCCAGTCGTTCTGTGGCATATGTAGCGTTTCTGATGCTCTCGGAGGTGGTCCCCATGGTCGTGGGTTGTGAAGCCAGAGGTCGACCATCATTCCGAGGGATCCGCGACGTACCCGCTGCGTGGGCGGGGGAATCCCGAAGGCTGGCTGTAGTAGCAAAAGGAATAGGATCCACATGGCTGTGGGCACATGCCAGGAGTTCCCCAGCATGGTGTTCCTGGTCCGGTCGGTGTTGTGTGGTCCCGTCCAGCCGCGCGGGAATCCCATCATTGCTTCGCGGTGCTCGGGTGTTGCGACTTGCCAGTCGTGTCCGTGTTTCCGGACCAGGTATTTCTGTTGGTATTGCCACGGGGCGAATTGTTTGTGGTCGGCTTGCCACCGTTGCCATGTGTCGTCTGGTAGTTGTTGGCTGCGTGGTGGTGGGCGGCCTTCGTCCGTACTGGCCTGGGTGGTAAGGCAGTGGAAGAGTTGTCCGTGTGTTAGGACACTCGGCGGGTCGAAGTCCCGGATGTGACAGTCTGGTTGTAGTTCGGCTGCAATGGGATTGAAGAGCACCGGTGGGAACAGCTGAGTGTCGATGGAGAGTTGCCAAGGTGTATGCCTGCTCAATGTGGCAGGCAAGGATTCCCAATCGACCGAGGCCCACCAGATTCTGGGACGAGAGATGATTTGTCCGTCGGCCGCGTCGATCAGGACTGGGCGTAGGCCCATGGAGTGGGACAGCTGGTCGAAGTCGTCGCGTACCTCGGGGTGAGGCACGACATTCTCTAGCAGGGTGAGCGATTGATGTGGCCATCTGTTCTGAATGTCGTCGCGGATGGAGAGTGCGGTGTCGAAGAGGCTGCCCTGTGAGCCGGCCCGGCCCGGTTGGTGTTGTTTAATGTTGGAGTAGTCCTTGCACGGTGGGCCACCGGTGAAGAGGATAATGTGTCTCTCGTGATTGGGTATGTCCTGGATGATCGCAGCCAGTTGTTCGATGTCAAAATCTTCTACGGCGCCCATGTGCGTCGTGGGGAAGAGTGAATGAGGTAGCTGATTGCAGGACTGATCGGTTTCCCACCGGAAACAGTGGGAGACGTTGGCGCCCAGTTGGTGCAGGGCAAGTGACACTGTGCCGATCCCGTCGAAAACTGAGAGCAGGATAATGGGCGTGTGTTGTATGAGTTGTCTGGTAAGATGGAGGCAACGCGCCGGGTCGGCTCCAGGGGACTGGTCCCCTGGGCCGTGCTGTCCCTAACGCGCCTTGTTCTTCCCGTGGGATTTGGTGCCTTTCTTGCCTTTCCCGGACCCCTTCTTTCCTTTGGGTGTGTCGCCCTTGAACGAGGGTCCTGGGGTTGTAGGCATCGAGGGGATGGCGGGGATGGCGAATTGGGTTGGTCCCCAGGTCGCGTATGGCTGGTTGTTGTATGGGTACGAAGTGGTCTGGTACCCTTTGTTGCCCCAGGTGTGCTTGCCTCTGCCCTTGGGTTGTCGATACTGGTTACTGTTGTTCTGTGGACGTCGGGTCTCTGTCCGTGGTTGTTTCTTGGCTGGTTGCGAAAGGATGTCGTTCATCGTGGTCGTGTCGGCCAGTAGTTCCTTGGTAGCTTTGCTGAAGGTGGCCCCCGACCGCATCTTCATGGCCAGTTGCCATGTGAAGGTTTCCCAGGAGTCTTTGACTTGGAGCAAGCGCTGCTGGTGTTGACGGGTGATGCGGCAGAATTTGTCAATGAATTCGTTGATGTCGGTTTCGTCCCCGATCTGGATGAAGGTCCATGCCCATCGAATGGCCTCCAACCCGTCGAGAATCATCATCAGGTTCTGTGGGTCCCAGTCTCTGGGCGTGGTTTCGACCAGCGTGTTGTTGGAATCGAGCGTGAGGGTCCGTTCG